CGCGTCCTTTGCATTCTCAGCATTCTTTGTTTTATCCTTCCCGTGTGTAAGGCATCATTACTGTACATCGAGCAATTCGTGGTTATTTGCGTACAAACTTACCAGAGCAAAGAGGATCGGATCGTTCTCATTACAAATACACATGTTTATTAGAATTCCAAGTAGCTAAGTTAAAATTTCATTACAGTAACATTAGATGTGCACGGCTTTTTTCATTTAACTGCATGCAACACTAAGGACACGCGATCATTAATACAATCACATATATGATACAATCGCATATGTTATAATGATAGTTTTATAATATTTTAATATTGCGCATTTTACCTACCCGTTTGCCCCTCCATAAAGTATATGAGAATTGTCTATGCTTTGAGGTTGAGAAAATTATATTCTATTGTTTCATTGATTATGTTTACTATTGTTGAAGTAATTTACGACGCAAGTTCCTGATAACTGTAGGTGTTGACAGTTGACTGTAGGGTCACGGCCGTAGCATATTCCGCGCCTACTACGATAAGCAGCCTGTAAACAATAGCAGATCTCGCTACTCTCAATTACTGCTTACGCAATATCACTCACGACACGCACTTTAACACAATATCACTCACGACATTTGTGATGTTTCTCTGCTGATTAACTACGTTTGTGGCGTGCGATTCATTTGTTCTGTAATCTAAAGAGAGAACATTACAAATTGCAAAGTTTCTGTTTACTATCACTCGGGTTAGGCCACTGAGGTTACTACGTGACTACAAATTTTCTATCAGCCATTTTAATCGTAGTATAAACTCTGACAATATTATACGACATAGAAGCATGTACATAAACATACATATTATACGATAGTAACTATTATGACTTCCATATTACATTCATGATCATTTACATTAATATTTAATTCAATATAACACACTAAAACTTGTGGAAACACAGCTCAAAACATATTCCAAGACAAAATATGTGTTCTGAAGTAAAAGAAGCTGTAAGAAAACATTATTCGAACAAAAATCAAAAAGAAAATAAAGCGATACATGTAACAAAACTACTAACCATAATTTCAATATCAAGCACAATATAATAATACTGATAATTTGAGGCGTTGATAATTAAAACAACAATGCTAGCTCAATTCTTTACGTTCAGTGTGCAATCGTCTAGAACGCAGCGAGAAGCCTCGCCAATGGGAAGGCCACTGAGTTAGGATGTCCATCTGCGTTCTCCTTCGCCAGTAGAGTAGAGAAGTATAAACATGAGGCTTCGCTTTCTATTCTTGAAGCAAGCGACCAGTCTGTTCAGTGCCGATGGCTCGCGGAATGGGGAAACTCGCAGAAGGCAAACCACAAGCCGGGCGTTCTCATTGGAGAGACCTCCCGCCCCAGCACACAGTGGGAATCTCTAGTCATGTTCGAGCGACGAAACAAATCTACATTTACGATGATGGAGCAAGTAATGTCATGATGAGTAGGCCTGAGGGATATCGGGCACGAATTGCAAGGTCAGTATCTGCAGTTTCTTGTACTTTGAATAGGAAAAATCCATTACTGCGCGATGTGAAGTAGCGTCCGGTGCATCCATAATAGGCGCGCATGTACACAAAAGCGAATTATTCCCACATAGTTCTACATACAAAGTACTTATTACCGTGCGGGGAGGGGGCGTGGTGTGGTGACTAGCGGAAATGCTTTCGTTCAGTTTCTATCTCCGTCAATTCAAGTGGAATTTTTGGTGAACAAAATGAGTTTCCGATAGTTTTCCCGCGGTTCTCTCGTTTCCCCTGTCTCCCATCTCACCATCTCCGTCAGCATTAACCTCATCATTATCGTTATAATCTTCTCATTAGATCATTACTCATTGAATTTAATGACCTACGAAATTGAAGGGCGCTTCAATAATAAAAAAATAAAGAAAGAAAGAATTAGGCATCAGTAGAAAATTCGCTTACGTTATAGCAACAAGTCCCATACTCATTTTCAGTCGCGTACAATATTGGTGTGACTGTGACTTGAAAAACATTATTCCGTCAATAGTTGCTCTCCATCGCACAGTAGGCCTAAATACAATTAATCGATTTAATCACAAACCAGATTAATAATGCCTTCAATTATCATAAGTAACAAAAGTAATAAACTAAATCCCAAAACAAATTAATTGAATTTTTATGCTTTTAACGAGGGCGTTGTATTAGCTTCTAATTTTGCATAAATTATCGTTTCAAATGTTTGTATCAAGTTTGAACTTTATATCCAAGTCAAAAACTATTTTTTTCAAATTCTAGGTGCTTTATAATATATTTAATTTGTTTTTTTACTTGATATGAATATATAATTTCAAACAAAAAATTTAAGAATTCATCACCATTGGAATATTAATCTAAGAAAAGCTTAAGATTTTTGACTAGATCAATAAAAACTAACTTGCGAGTGCGGATGTTTGTGGAAGGCTCGAAATGGCTGCCGTAGACGCCCATATTTTATTTTCGATATAGATACCTCAAGCATACTCATGAACCATTATGACCACTAATGTTACAAAATGTCGCGTTGGTGACGGTAAAATGAAGAGCAAATTATTATTGAAACTGCGTTCCAGGTGCACAGTGCAACAATTTGGATGAATTAGGGAAAAGTTCGCCCCTTTTTATTGGAGTGGAATGTCGTTCTGAGCGTTTGTTAAATCGTGGAGGATGCAATATTTTCAGTAAAAAAATATATAAGATTCAAGCGTTCGACAGACTAAACAGACAGCTTAAAATGAGCGTAATGTAATTCAATTCGTATTATTTCTTATCTACCAACATCTGTTACAGTTTGTAAAGACTTACGTTTTATGTTGGTTTATTATGAATATTTTCATTTACTTATTTGAATCATAACGTAACTGTTCTAAAATTTCAAAATGTCATGCATTTCATTTCAATCGGAACCACCAATATTACATCCACTTATGACAACTATTCATTAAATTTAAGGTGATATAATAACTGGACAATTTACCACTCTTACAGACGCACCATGTCCTTCAGTATTTATGTATCATCCCTATCTTTACTTGCGTAGATATGTAATTCCCCACCCATCTCACTTATTGAGAACAGACCAGTACCTCCCTAAATATTTGATACACCACACTGCCCCAGCAAAATGACTTCCTTTAATGACGACACGCATGAGAAAATGCTGCTGCAGGTAGTCAACGAAGCCTGCAAAAGAGGACGAGGACGACGATGATCACGAAAAGGAAAAGCCCAAGAAAAGAAAACGAAAATAGATAATTTAATGGTCATCGTATGGTATCATTATTTTGAAAACCTTAATAATCGACTGCCTCTGAATCAAAAATTCACTTATTTCATGAAGATAGTTTTGAAATTTAAAATGTTAATCTTAATACTTTATTGAGTTTCAATTTCGTCAATATTATGCTCTCCTTCTCTTAGTGTTTTCGTTAACTTATACACACCCGAAAATAATCTTCAAATTGCAACCTTGCCTGTAGTGACAAATGCAACCTTGCTGGCTGTCTAAGCCTTGTATTAATATTGGAGAATATGTTAACTAAGGACAAAAATATGTAAAGTCTAAGTATTATATCCATGTCAGTACTTTCTGTCAATTAGAAACAGGATATTACCTATTGTTAACTCAATGTAAAAGTACTGAGTCGTGAAAACCTCAGCTGTCGATGCGACTACAAACAAATGACAAAATAATCAACCTTGTATATATGGTGGAAAAGCTATAGTTCTTAAAATATTGAAAGATGGATTTATATAATATCAATATTATGTAAATAAGTAAGCGCTTAATATGGTACCGATAATGAAGTCTCTAGACCATGTACAAGGGTGGCTGATGATTTATTTTAAAGTCTGAGTGCGTGTTAATCTTTAAGTTGGAATTTAATTCTGAAAACTACCGTTGGTGTTGGTCGTAATGTTTTATATAGATTCTGATCTCGCCGAAATGTGGTTAAAGGCTAATTTCGAAGCTTGGAGGTATGTTTCATTTCTTCTTGACGATAGTCTGTATCTTGTAATATAAATAATGTTTTATCACTTTTTACTTAACACACTTCACGGAGAAACAGAGGAGACATTGTTGAATCTCCGGGACAATATTTTGGTCGTCAATATTTGCAATTACCTAGTTATATATTATTGTGAATGATTAAATGCATTGTGAAGGGTAAAGCGAATGTCCTTGGCGTGCAAAGTTCCTTGTTCTGGGAACTATTAGTGTTAGTTCTAATTACTAGGATTAGTGAAGTAATGCCGCTTTAAAGTAATTGACCTTAGGAATTTTGATGGCCTTAGGAATGATCTATGAAGGATTTTTAATGGACTTATACCTAAGAAGATTGTAATATAAAATTTACTTCCGGTTAAGTAACGTTCGCAAGAGAGAAGAATTAATTGTATAATAATTTGAGGACACTGAAAATAATGATATAGAAATAATAGAATTTAAACATCACACCCTCCGAAGTTCGTATTTCACCTTACCCATCTTGAGCAATATGCGGGACGTTTTTGGTCATTTCTTGGTTAGGCCTCTGTAAGAGTTTTGCTAAAATCAAATGACAGCTTCTCTAACTCATTGTGTGTAAAGGCGTTTAGGTTAACAGGAAGTCTGAATCATTATATTTACGATCGAATGTCTGGAGCGATATTCAACCCTTGTGCATTTTTCTCCAATAGGTCATTTTTATGAAGTACTATTAGAATGACGTCTCAGGCGCTCACATGAACCGCATTGTACGATTTCGGTAACATTAAAAAAAATTCCTTTCCCATCTCGTCCACGTCGCTTGAGGGGCAAACGCAATGGATTGCAGCGGAGGCGAAGACGACGCTCCGACTCTAGCGAAGCTAAGCGGTCGCTGTCGTAATGGAGGGAGGGGGAGGAGAGGGCACCCCTTTGTCCTAGCGGCAGTTGACAGCACGGGGGAGGTAGGGGGGGGGTTGCCCGGACGAACGGACAGAAGACAGAAGGTTAGACGCAAGCGCGGTGGCGGCGGCGGAGGCGGCGACGCAGGGCCTTGTGCAAGAGCGCGGCGGCAAAGCGTCACTCAGGTGGAAGACCGTCCGCAAGCGCACTGGCACGGACGTTGCACCACTGCCCGGCGACGACGACGACGACAGCGACGGATCGCACGCGAGCCTATCGGCACGGTCTCTGGCCTCAAGTAGGTCGACCCCGCTGGAAGCTCACGTAACATAAACAAAGGATTGCAACAAAAAAAATCGCTTACCGTTCTCAATCGATCATTACAAAAGCTGCGTGGTCGGTTGGGCGATTTACGAAACGTGTATGTTCGGTACAAACAATACCTAGGTCTGTTATTACCACTCTAATATTAGGGCAACCTAAAATACGTTAAAATTACTCACAAAAGTCATAAATATTTACGTAATTGCATTCCACCTGCCGTGAAATTGTAGGAAAATTTGCTATCGTAAGTGAAAGTTATTTTAAATTTATTTTTTAATACACGTACAGTAACATTGAATAATTCCATAATTCGGTAACAGAACAGTAGTTTTCTTATTTTCATATAGATAAAATTCTTATCATTAGAAGTATGAGAAATCCTTTCCTCTGTACGTTTGCGATGTTCAGTTAGAACGGGTGTCCTTCAACGGATGGGGCAACTGCATCATAATTAAATAACGTACCAGATGATCTCTCAACTATTAACATGACATATATTAATCAGACCCAATGTAGTGTAAAAAGTTGACAACCTCAATATTTTGGGTAAGTTGTTGAGTTTTGAATATTACTTCCAAAAAATAGTTTATTTTAATTACAGCGTAATGAAAATGAAACATCCAATCCAATAGAGCTGAAGCAAACAATCCAAAGATATCAAGTCTTCTTTGCCCCTTACTACTTTCAAGCAACTCATTGAGAAAAAAAAACTTCCGGAAGTTTGCGATTTATTCTTTGACAAGAGGATAATTGTGCTCTCTCATCGGGTTTCAATTTGAATGAATGATTGATGTGCGTTTCTGCGCGCCTCTACTTCTAAGGTCATTACTGCTATACGGGAAGTGTATGTTTGTTTCGCTGGTTCTCCCTCGTTGGGTGGCGAGTTGCGGCGCCGATCTACTTGTCGGCTTGCGGGGCTTTCTCTGACCAGCTGAACTTCGCTCCAGCGGTACCCACCAGCGGGGCGCCGCCCGAGCCCCAGGCAGGACAAGCTCAAAGCCCCCGGCATGGGTGGTAGTCTAGTGCATATTAGTTTGTGTGTGAAAGAGAGAGAGAGAGAGAGAGAGAGAGTGTGAAAGAGAGAGAGTGTGTGTGTGAAAGAGAGAGAGAGTGTGTGTGAAAGAGAGAGAGTGTGTGTGTGTGTGAAAGAGAGAGAGAGTGTGTGTGTGTGTGTGTGAAAGAGAGAGAGAGTGTGTGTGTGAAAGAGAGAGAGAGAGTGTGTGAGAGAGAGTGTGTGTGTATGTGTGTGAGGGTGTGTGAGAGAGAGTGTGTGTATGTGTGTGAGGGTGTGTGAGAGAGAGTGTGTGTATGTGTGTGAGGGTGTGTGAGAGTGTTTGTGTCTCTGAGGGTGTGTGAGAGTGTATGTGTGTCTCTGAGGGTGTGTGAGAGAGAGTGTGTGTGTGTGTGTGTGTCTGAGGGTGTGTGAGAGAGAGAGAGAGTGTGTGTGAGTGTGTGTGTGTGAGGGTGTGAGAATGTGTGTGTGAGAAATTGTGTATGAGAGAGTGTGAGAGAGAGAGAGTGTGTGACAGCGAGTATTTCTGTGTGTGTGTGAGAGAGAGAGAGAATGTGGGTGTAAGAGGTGAGGATAGATAAGAATTGGAGGAAGAAAAAATTGCGTCCGGTCCGCGACCCGTTTGTGAGAGGCTTGGATTTTTGGCCTTGCGTAGGGTTGAACGTAGAAACTACGGAAACACTATCAACCACACGAACCAGCCCCTAGGATACATCTCCAGACAGCGGCTGGATTCGCTCTAGCTAACTAGCGAGAGTCAAAAATCTTGCCACCGTCGGGACTCGACCGTAAGACCTTCAGCTCAGAGGCTCAGCATTGACATCAATTGACGCCTGGAGGCACAGTCTGTGGTCTTTCCTGGATTATTTGTGCAGGAACCGTCTCGCGATTTCATATCGCGACGCCGTGTCCCTGACTCAAGGAAGTCCCCGCCCTGAGCGAATTCGAATCGGAAAGTAGGTGAGCGCTTTTTGTGAGGTGGGCGCGCCCTCCTGAGGTGACCAGTCTCCACGACCAATGGCGTGGTGAGGCGTGACGCCGTTTTGCGTGGATGATTGCCTGGATTGCACTCCCCCTCTCCCCTCCCTCCAATTACCCCCCTCCTCCGCCCGCGAGCTCCTTCGTTTTCTTCACCCTTAGGCCGAGGCTCCGCCAGACAGCTGTGTAAATACAGCAATAGGACACAAGAAATTCCTACTTCATGGTGATACCTAAAAGTAATCGCTGAATACCATCTTTAATTATTTGTTGTACTACATACGTATTTACGTTCTCAATAAAATATCCTTCAAATACGTTTTACTTAATTCTTATGGAATATGCTCAGTACCACATTATATTAATTCCAAGGACGGAAGTGCCTTGACGGAAGACACAAAGAAACTTACGTATCAAAATGGAATGGAAAGAAGCTCTCTAAAACAATTAGTTTGTCGAATTATATAATTTAATACGGTTCAGCAACAACTTCTCGTTTTTTCTACAGAAAAAGGCCAGATATGCAACTATTACAAAAATTAACGATTGCTCGAACGGTGAAAATATTCGACTAGAAGAGATCGATTATGTATGACGTCGTAGAAAATTATCGCTTAGAACATGCTTAATTCTTTCCTGCTTTCCTACATGATTGCTCAGATTCGTTTACATATTAATATACCCGCTGACAGATGTACTCACAATTGTTCGATTTAAATATAGTGACTTGTGACACATGTAATGCGGTTATCCAATAAGCAATCCAGCTAATGATCTGTCACAAATCACTATATTTATAAAACGAGACAATAAACAATGCGAGTACAATTTCTCCAACCACCAGAAACGCATCCCTTATAAGCACCGCAAGTTTATCACTATTTGAAATCATCGGCGTGAAAGTATCACGTATGTTGAGAGAATGAGCTCTGCTCTGTCAAACCTTGTTTTGTTAATCAAATGTACGTAATGGAGAGCAAATGCATTTTAACACGAGAGTATTTGTTAAGAAATACAAAAATGTCGAAATTGAAGTATTTAAAAAACTCCGTAGCATCATTCTTTCAACTAGTAAATTTCTTTAATATACCATGCACAATATAAACTCAGTGTTTCATAAATGAAATTTCTTGACACCATTCCAGGATCGTAGAAGAGAGGTAAAGATACAAAAACGTTCAGCCTCTACTCGACACTAAACTTCTCTATCAGTGGTTGATAGTTTTTCTATTAGAAAAGATGAATGTTTCTGTAGTTTAAAAGTTTCTTGTGGGTCTATTAGTAACTTATTTTAGTGCCTGGGTCGAATTACTTCATAACCCTTCTGCAAAATCTACAGTTAGAATCTTATGACTAATCTTCAAGCCTCTAAAATACAAATGGGCATGCTCTTTTCTCAATGGATCAGTGGATAACTTTTACTTTTACATGACATTAAACACGCCCCCTTTCTTTCATCCGAAGACTACGTTACATAAAGAAAATGTCGACAAATATCAGTGAAGCGAACAGGAATCAAGTGAAATCAAACGAGACGAATGGTTGAGCATCAGTTATGCCAGAAGTGATTTTTCTTCGAGCTACTGGCGGATCCGGGGGGGGGCATGGTAGGTATCATATCTACAGTACATAAATAATATACGATACAATAAAATTATCGGTATAATACGATATTATTTAACAAATATCTACAATGGCCGCCTCCAAAATAAGCAGCTGGATTCGTCCCCTCTCGAGCGCTTGTAAATAAAACACAAGTTACCGGGTATACCTCACGAGTGATACTTGGGAACGCCTTTAACAATTTCAGTGAGGTCAAGTTCTGAAATTCTTCTGGAATTAGTGTAAACACTAACTATATTGTACTTTATACTATATTGTACTGGGCTGACAATTTCTTTAATGTTTCTAAAAGGGATTTTCAAGACATTTCATGAAAAATGTAGCATTTATAAGTACTCGTAATTAAAAATGAGACGATTGGGGTCCAAATAACTGCAAATCCAAGAACATTTTTGTCCACAATGTTCTCTCTTGAGCCTTTAGTGTGTTACCTAATAACTAGCTTCATCGATACAATAATTTCAATCATTAAAAATAAAATGTTGAACATTATAGAAATGAAAAAATGAGAAATATTATATTGTTACATTTGGTAAGCAATAAAACATTCCTCCTTTTTATTAATAATATTGTAACAAAATCACATGAGCTCTCCAAACAACAATGCACAAATGTTTTATTGATTTTCATGTATATATCCTAAGTGAGCCTTAACATTTCCAAAATAATTTAGAAGAAAATTAACCAAAATAAAAAAGACGTGATACTCACAAGTAACTGACACATTTCCGTGAAACCAAGTATGCTTCTCGGTTTATGAACGTCCCTCCCCCCAACTGATACCACAATAAACTTAAAACTGGGTCTATCTAATAATAAAGTCGACTTACGCGTAAAACAGGTTTCAAGACCTCAGGCTGAACGCTAGGTATGGGAGATAAAGCACAGCAAACATCTGAAAACGAATAGCCCATTTATAAGACATCTAACTTCATCAATCATACGAAAAGTTGCAAATAATATAATAATGCATTATAATTGAAAATAAATGTACTTGATTTAAAATTAATTAAAAAAATAATTTTTAAATTAATAAAACTGAAATACTACAATTTAAATATCGGTGCAGTACTTCATTATCACAGATCACTTAATTAGAATTGCATTGGACATGGAAATAAACAATAAACTTTATCCCATTTCATACAAAACAAATTCCTTTTGCTTATTTGTTAATTTACTCATGTGTATATCAAATTCAACCGCCGTGTGACTACAAAAGTGCATAGGAAGTGTTTATGAAGAAATGTTTAAGCATTTTATAAGTACTCAATTCGTTGAGAGCAATCGTTAAGCAATAAAAGCAACTTTTTCATACCTGCCTCTCATGTTATAACCAGGTCACTCACCCTTCATGAGTTAGCAGCCTCGAAAGTCGAATAAACCTCTTTCTAGTTTGTACCCTGTACACCGCTCTTGCGAGCAGTGCATTGCTGTAAGGATTTCGCTTCTTCGTGTAGTTCTAATAGTCACGTTTTCTCTGGAATAGTGGCGGTGACATAAGACCGTAAGATTTGTGCTTCTTGAACCACTCTAACCCCCTATTAAGACGCTATCAACGGAACGATAGAAACAACAGATCTGTTAGTCACACATCCCTTTCATAGTGAACTAGTAAAAGGGAGGAGTATTTTACAAAAACATAATTTGAGGTTGTAATGATAAGGAACCTCCAGAGAAAGGTTATTTCTGTCTAATTCTCCGGTAATATTTTTTTCTTCTGTCATGTCTCTAATGATAAGTTGGTAATCAAGGGCTTAAAATTTATAATTGGGCACTTTTAGGAAAAATGAAGTAATTATTATGACTGATAAGTGTGCCTGAAACTATTCTTTGTCATCTACGCTACTATCTTGGGTGAAGATAGTTTTTTGCCTAGGATTTGAAATCTTAATCCTAAAAATCAACAGCAGACAAACTATTATGTCTGCTTCTGATTGCCCGACAAAATAATAAATTATTTATGTCACGTTACGAATGTTTAAAATTATTAAATCAATTTGTCGGGTTCGATTCTCAGTAAATCCAACTTTCTCTAGTTTTTACGAGATAATGCATGCGAATGCTGATTCCTCATTAAATTTAAAAACAATGGAAAGTATACCGCCTTCTTGTGCAGCTAGCTCAAGCTGCCTCTTCCGCATACCCTTATCGTCACCAGTCGCAGATGCACACCTAGAAGGTATTTGTTTGTATTTAAAAGATGACACGGATCATCCATCAAGTGTACTAGCAGGCTGTGAGAAAGAACCATTATAATCCAAGAGGACTTAGAAAAGTGTCTTGTGGCAGGTGATACAACGATAATAGGCACTGGTCTGTATTAGTACGCATAGATCTGATTGGACCTACGAGTAAAGAGAAATCAATCTTAAATTATACTACGAAAGCGACCATGGTATTGAGGTCTCAATCTACATCATAACGACGAGAAATGTATCGATTAACATGTTAGTATAATAAATATATCACCGCTCTTATATTTGATCACATCAACACAATATCACGCAAATGTATGTTCTTCTATAAATGGATTTATTGTTATTAATTTATAAATAATTTTTTTTTTAAATTTTCAGTATTTTCAATTAAAATTTCTATTATTAAAATCGAGTATTACTTTAAATGACTTTACTGAATACATGGGTACGATATATTATTCGATGTATTATTTGACACTGTATACATTTCTATTTCTATTAGAAAGACATAGTTGACCGTATCTGAGTTCCCTCAAGACGGCTTACCATATACACTCCAGCGATCACAGTAGGCAATATCGAATGGGGTTAGGATATTTCATTTAGCATGATATGGCGAAGCTTCACATCGCGAAATGTAGTGTGCTCTGGTGGCTGGTCTCGCCTCAGGCGCTTTCTGTGCACACGCTCTGCAGCTTCCGCGCTCGGTTTTCGCAACAAATGCTGACGTTCAAGTGTCTCCATAGCTCATGAGGCTCCCTTGCTAATCACCATTGCTCATTGCGACACGCAGCTTTTCAATGGCCTTCAACAGCTTTCCCTAGTTCACGCGACATCAATGTCCGTCTGGCGAGTTATTTTTCTGTTCATAAACTGATGTTATAAATTTATTTCGTTTATTTTACAGATGGCGAACCTGTGCTGGTGGTACTACATATCGAAATTAACCGAATTCATGGATACCGTAAGTTATCAACAAAGTTTTTTTGAGCACACAAACACCACCTTTAAGTCTAAATTTAATAATAATAATAATAATAATAATAATAATAATAATAATAATAATAGTAATAATAATAATAGTAATAATAATTTTATTCAGGTGTATTATATTGCGGATACAATGATGCACACTAAACATTGTTAGATATAACGTAATAGTTAAGGATATTTTTCTTAAACGTTACAACCTGAAATTTCTGAAGTTATATTTATTTTCTTAATAGAGCGAACGAAAAATACGAGATAAAGACTTGGCGTAAAAAAAGAAAAAAACACCTAAATGTCAACTTACAATGTGAAACACAATCAAACAAGAATGCTTGAATAAAGTACAGGCACAGACAAAAAGCTCAACTTACAACGTAAATAAGCAAACAAAAACAAATGAAAAATGTACAATAGTAACACCATAATACATAATGCATATCATATTCTACAATGCCTATGCACTAAATGAATGCACTTAAGAGAAAATGATTAAATTTTAAAAAGGCACTTGTTTTACATTATTTTATATTATACTCATAAATAAAACAAAGTTCTTTGGTAATCAGATAAACTAATTTCGTTAACTTTTGTTGTTTTTACATTGACTAACAAAACTATCATAAGTTTAGGAAATATATTAAACAATGTATTACTGATATATGTACGTTTTTTGTTAATTTTTGGAGGTGCTAAATGATCACATCTTCTTTCAATTTTCTCTCTGTTTTTATAAGTCGGTTTTTACAGTCATTAATTGGTTGGAACTCAAAAATGATTTCATTTTATGAAATACATTAAGTCCATTAATTTCTTAACAGTATTATTTGCATGCTCATTCAATTTTAGTATGGTGAATATATACACCCAGATATTTCTAACTTTCTTTGCTAGTTGTTGTTGAACAGTTACAAATTTCTTCAGTGCAGGTATTGTGTATTTTGATAATACTAAGACATGGATTACTATCTTCGCAACTTCCAAAAGTTAAATATATAGTACATCATACATTCAATATACATATTTTCAATATTCAATACTAAATATAAGATCAATTTGATTAAACCATTTGACAATTACATTAAATTTTCTTTCAGCTGAATCAATAACTTGCTCCCACGTAGGGTATTTGACGATTACTGCAGTATCATCTGCAAACGATTTAATTTCGACATGTGGCATTATTTTACCATTAATAACTTAATTACTTAAACAAGTAATAACTTAACAACCACTTAATTACTTTAAACTTTTAAAAGTCCAATTTCTATTTATGACTTATTGAAATGTATGCTTTTGGCTCTTCTAAATATTAATTTAAAGAAAAAAATAACAAAAATTGAGGGCTCCCTTACTAGGTTTTCACATTTATCTTTACATATTTTAACTGGCTATAAAAACAGTCAATATATATAAGACTCATAAAACCAAACAAAAAAATTCTGAACAAATTCAGTCACAGTTACGCAGTATTCTCTTTCAATATCCTGAACAGTCACGTACGCATCAAAGAAATAATGAGTAATATTAATGTGCATGTTGCTTAAAATGTATGTTGCAGTTGTTCTTCGTCTTGCGAAAGAAAGACAACCAGATCACAATCCTACATCTGTACCATCATTCGCTCACACCCCTGGAGACGTGGATTTGTGTCAAATTTATTGCAGGTTGGTATTTGAATCACGGGTTTTTCATCTGTGTGCCTTTATGCCCCGTTTAAAATGTCTACTCATTATGCAAAAAAATATTAATTTGCCATAATGCCATCGTTTGAATGGTACTTCAAAATTCAAGAATTTTTTTCACAAATATTTTTCTTTACTCTCACGAATCTACATGCTATTAACCCTGGGAATACATCTTTCAAATATTATAAAGGCAAGTTTTTCGCGCGCTTAATTTAACAATTCTATCGTTTTGTTAATTGATGTGAAGAATTCATGTAAGGGAACATACAGCTACACAAATCATTACCACAAAATCAGACAAAATTGGGGAACATGTGTGTACCAAGAATTTTAATGCTAAGGTAAACAAGCATATTCAATGTTTAGGCATCAAACGAATCAAAACCTTATTCACAAACTTCTCATGTTTAGTGGAAAACAAATTTTACTTATTCGCTACCAATTTTCGGTAGATGTAAATGCTTTAAAAAATGTAATCATCTTTTGTATTCGTGCACCGAATAAGCCAAAAATATTTTAGAAATTGTTTATTTGAACGTTTTGAAATAATTTAAATACTACCACCAAATCATAATATTATTTTTTATTTTCTTATGTTGCATTAAGGTACTTATCCAACAAATATGAGTGATCTGAAAGGTAATCGTGTTCGAAAAATACAATACTAATCGGAATATTTGGTACAATTTATCAAAAATAAGTTAGTTCTATTTTTGTTCCTTAGACTCGAAAACACTTCACCATATTCAGCATCTTTACTTTGATTTTTAAACATTCGTTAAGAAGTCTTGTCGGCAAAATAAACTCCCATTCGTCAGTACTAAATAGAAATAATTATATAATCAACTAATTATTCGTAAACTACTACCAAACTTATTCGTTTTATTAAAGAAGATTCCCATCTCCTGGAAAGTAAACTCTAAAGTAAGAACTCGTCGAAAATAGTTATGTGAGTTTGCTAATAAAGCATCTCAGAAATAGGTCCCCTTAGCTTCAAAATAGCATCCGCCATCGCTTTTCGCTCCCACAGGATGAGTTCTCTTGCCACCTGACAGAGTATGACTTCTGTTTCAGGGGGACATGGCACATTCTCCAATCTGATTAATAACATCGTGCACGTCATAATGTACTTTTATTATATGATGGCTGCCATGGGACCTGAATACCATAAGTACTTGTGGTGGAAGCGTCATCTGACAACCCTCCAGCTGGTAAGTGTCCCATGAGCGCGTACTCGCGGCGCTACTGCTGTCCGGCCTTACTGATCATCACGGCTCGGATTTCGATGACCTAAAAATTCTATGAAAATGGCCTATAAAATTACTTAAAAGGAAGAGGAAAAGATCTATTAAATAACTTAAAAATCATGGGAAAATGACCAATAAAATAACTTAAAACAGGGGGAAATAACCTTTAAAATGACATAAAATAGGATAAAATGACCTATATAATGACTTGTAAATAAGGAGGAATTGACCTAATAAGTGACTTGAAAATAAGAGGTAAATGACATATTAAAAGTCTTAAAAAGTAAAAGAACATGACTTATTAAATTATTTAAAAATAAGAGGGAAATGATACACAAAATGACTAAAAAATACGAGGGAAATGACCTATTAAATTGCTTAAAAAGAAGGGGAAATGACCTATTAAATTGCTAAAAAAGAAGGGTAAATGACCTAAAAAATGTCTTAAAAATGAGAGGGAATTGATCTGTTAAATTGCTTAAAAGTAAGGGGAAATGACCTATTAAATGGATTAAAAATACGAGGGGAAATGACCTATTAAATGACTTAAATATACGAACAAAATTACCTACAATAGGACTTAACATAAGAAAATGACCTACAAAACTATTTAAAATAAGCGGGAAATGACCTATTAAATGTCTTAAAAAGAAGGGGAAAATAAACAATAAAATGACCTATTAAATGTCTTAAAAATAAGGGGAAAAATAAACAATAAAATGACCTATTAAATGACTTAAGATAATGGGGACATGACCAGTTAAATTCTTTAAATAAGGGCGAAATGACTTATAAAAAGACTTCAAGTACGAAGAAAATGACATTAAATAACTTGAACAGAAGTGAAAAATTACTTATTAAATGGCTTAAAAATATGAGGGGAAATGATCTAAATGATTAAAAAACAAGGAGAAAACGACCTATAAATAATTTAAAAATAAGGCGAAAATGACTTTTAGTAGAAATTATAAGAAGAAAATGGCCTACAAAATGACTTGAAATAAGGAGGACTTATTAAATGACTTAAAAATACGAAGAAAATGGACCATTATGTGACTTAAAACAATAAAGAAATGACTTTTAAACGACTCAAAGAAGCAGACAATGACTTATTGAAAACTTGAACATAAATGGAAAATGACATATTAAATGACTTAAAAATATATGGAAATGACCTATAAATGACTTAAATAAGGGGAAAATGACCAATTTAAATGACGAACAAATGGGGAAAATTACCTTTTATAATATTTAAAAATAAGAGCAAAATTAACAATAAAGTTACTTAAAAATAAGAGGGAAATGATAATAAAAGGGAAAATGTTAATTTATTCAAAAAAATATCAAAATTTGTATGCATTTTCTTACTTATTAATGAGTTTTATAATTAAAAAAAATTATTAAATACCAAGTCCTTTATTTATGGTGGAAATGTAATCCTTAGTTCTGGTCATCGACGAACAAATGACGAACAAATGGGAAAATTACCTTTATAATATTTAAAAATAAGAGCAAAATTAACAATAAAGTTACTTAAAAATAAGAGGGAAATGATAATAAAAGGGAAAATGTTAATTTATTCAAAAAATATCAAAATTTGTATGCATTTTCTTATTATTCAATGAGTTTTATAATTTAAAAAAATTATTAAATACAAGTCTTTATTTTATGGTGGAAATGTAATCCTTAGTTCTGGTCATCTAACTATCAAGTTTTGAAAGGTCGACGAAGTTACCGAAGATCCTTGTAATTTTGAGAGCTCGAAATATATAGCCTGGCAGGAGTGAATTTTGTCATGAACTGATGATACAAAAAAATGTTTTATCGTGTAAATTTACAAAACATTTACAAACAAAAACACGAAAGGAACAAAATGCCTAAAAATGACAAAAATGACGCAAATGTTTAAGAATGACCTAAAAATTAAACATGGCAAAAAATGACAAAAAGTGAACCAATAAATGTACATTGATATCACCTACAAGTCATGGTAAACATTTATTTACAAGTCAGCTACTCTAGAATGCACCAATGAAAAGATGACATGTCATCTGAATCCGAGCCCTGCTGATCACGTAATCGCGCCACATGAACATTGCGCTCTTGAATGCCAAAGGATAGGGGCAATATACGAGAAATTAGGTGACGACTTTCTAAAGGAACCCCCACTGGCATCGCCTCGCATGTTACCGAACTGTGAAAGAAGCGAACTTCGGCTCAGCCAGAGCGGCGAGCGGCCAAGTGGTCGCGCACTCGCAATTAATGGGTCTCGCAGTAATTAATAGATGTGATTCAGAATTGTTCCTGAATTCTTTGGCGTTTCACTTGTCCCAAGCATTTCACAAGAGCTCGCAATATATCTATCTTTTGTTGCTCTCGCAGTGAAAAGCCATTTGAAACGAAACGGTAACGATTCACGTACAATGAAATTTAACTCTTAGTCAATCTCTAGAAATTAAACTCTCGTAAAATATATTTGAATTGGACATGCGTATACACTCATTTACTATTAAGTAAGCATTTACTATTAGCTACAATGCACAAAATACCAAATGTCCATAGTTTAATTCAACTACCTGAATTAATCCAATACGTACAGTTTATATCCTTATGTCCACGAGATATATCGGAATGAAACTTCACGCAACTCTTATCGCAATGTACGCCTTATGTAAATTCTACTAAAAACGTAAATTTTATTGTCACAATTTGACGTTATTGCGTAGAAAAAATGGTATGTAAAGAAACGAGACATTGTCAGGATTCTATTCAAAACTTTGTAGCAATACATACATCATATCTTGTAAACTCTGTTTGTGATATTAAGAAGCATTTCTTAACATATTAAATGGATTGTTTCCATTTCTTGCAAGTCATAATGAAAGCAACGCGTTACAAAACTTAAAAAATGTAACATCGTCTTCTCCTTTAACTTGCTTTATGTCTGTAGCAATAGGCCAGACGAAAATCTTTTCAAAACTATGTTTCTTCTCTTCGTAGCTTTTTCAATACATTTTTTTTCTATATCAAAATAACACCTCACAGATGTCAACACCAATCAGTCTCTCTCTCATGAGAATCGTATTTCATTTTTGTCAGTAGAGAGTTGCTTGCTAAAACAATATGAACGTAATATCATTTGACGAAAGCATATGTTACTAATATCGCTTATTTATTTTCAACCCTCCTTGCTGGGTGACGTACTTTGGTGCCTTTTGTATAAGAAAGAAGTTGTTGTTAGATGAGGGTCGTCTCGAGTGTCATAATCTCTCACAAAATTTCGTTTCTACAAAAATAGTATGACAAACAGATCCGAAAAGCAAGTGTCACAACATACAAAATTGACGCAAGCAAATTTCAATTAAGACGTGCCACATTCTTAATTATGCAAGAATAAAAGTGTTAAATATTATATTTTGTTATAATTAGTAAGACCTAAATATAATTTTAAACTTAACATTATACACGGAAATTTTTTTTTAAATATTTATTTTTCTAAGCTTTAAAAGCGTTTCAGAGGGTTTGAGGTTTTCAGAACTACTTTTAATAGATGAAACACTAGATTCTATATTTTCCGACTTGATGATTGATCACACATCCTCCAATTTTGTTTGAATGGCCATAAAACATGTCTATACAGAAAATTATTGAGATCGGATAATTCTAACCCGTGGCGACATCACGAACAAGTCTTGCGAGTGCTTGAAGTTTTATTTCATTTAGTTTTAACATACGTAAAGTTAACTGTTAGTGCAAATGCTACATTTGTGGTTCCTGAGTGCATGATATTTTGAGAGAAAACGCGAATTCCGACATGAGCTAATCAGAATTGTTCGCAAAAACGTATTAACTTGTATTCGGAGTGGAGAAAATTACAAAAAACGCAAGCAATTGTGTATCTATTTTTAAGTATCGCGAAGAGGAGCTTAAAAATAATTTGGACAAACAACTTGATATTGCACATCCGAATGCTTTACAAATGATTACGTTGGAAGAAGACAGGATGTTTATACTTTTAGAGCTTTAAGAGTAATAGATCTGAAATTCCGTCTGTTCCTTTGCGATGGTGGAACTGTTGCTTGCATTTAATTTCAGGGATTCAAAAGAAGAAAGACTTCTATGCACAATATAAGGGACACATACTATCTATCTATCTATCTATCTATCTATCTATCTATATATATATATATATATATATATATATATATATATATATATATATATATATTCCTATTTCGACATTTTTCTTCAAAACAGCATTTTCTTTCTTTTATTAAACCTGGAGAAAATATGAGTGTTGTCTACAACAATTCACAAACACCTACAAAACGAAGAAATTATACTAATGCTAAAATGATATTACTATGGCCAATTTCTTCTAAAATCACAGCTCGAAAATTACTTACACGACCAAACCAAATTTCTTTTATTTACAATTCTATTTTCATTCAAAATGTCAAAAACAGTAGATATTTAAAAACTTATTCAGATCATAAACAACGTAATTTTTGAGACGGTGGCTAAAGCATCAGACGAGTCTTGAGAGATCGCCGACCCTCGTGGTTGCCGATGGTTAAGCTAAGTAAGCGCGGACTGGGTCGGTTCGGGCCGGATCGGGTCGGGTCGGTTCGGGTCGGCGGTGTCGGTTGTGTCGGGTCGGGTCGGGTCGGGTCGGGTCGGGTCGGTCGGGTCGGGTCGGGTCGGGTCGGGTCGGGACGGGGTCGGTCGGACGCGTCGGATGAGCCGCGTCTCGTCGTGTTGGGTCGGTTCGGGTCGGGTCGGACACGACGGGACGGAAAGTACCTGACGGAAAGAACGAGACGGGGTCTGGAAAGAAACGGGAAGGGACGGCATTTTTGTGCGGTTTGTATACACTAGCGCCGGGAAGTGGGACGGACAGGACGGGCCGGACGAAACTGACAGTTCGGACACATTCGGAGACAGTTGCTCCGTGTTTTGTATTG